CTAGAGCTGTGTTTCACTTTAAGAACATTTGACACTTTAATTTCAACCTTGATGATCAGTTTTGCCAAGTTTCATCTTTTTAATATGTCTCAAAGTATGTTTACAGTGTTTGGACAAATAAGGTTTCTCATATATCTATCCATGGTGACGTTTCTTTTGTGGTTCAGTATATATCAATCAAAATACCAGTGTCGTCTTTCATAAAAGACATAAAACCAGCCATGACGTCAAATAGAATGGGAGGACCAATTTATAGGTTAGATAGGGCCATCCATTTCGCTGTTACTCCTTTTTTATGAAAGACGATTTCATCAATTCCTATGGGTTTTATTTATACCTAAACGTATAGTTTCACTATCGATATTTGTGTTGGAATAGTTTGGTACCTCGTGATCATGAACAAAACACCACGAAAATATATTGTTCTTACCCACGACTAATACTCACCAAGTGACCTGTTACAATAAACTAGTGCTAAGCATAGCGGAGTTATGCCCCCTTTTCTTTGTACGTGTGTAACCTCTCAGTCGCCTTATGACGTCATAGAGAATAATCAGTTTTCGTCATTTACGACAGGCTATTCTTTTTCACTGAATTTATGTCCTTATACATACGCATATAACTCCATTTGATATAATTATATTTATGTCGTTCAGATATTAGGCATTATTTGTTCGCTCACAGTTTCCGTAAAGCTGCTAAATAAATAATAATCGTCGCACAGTACTTTTATCGGTGAACGATAAAATGCGGAGAAATGTCCTGTTTTTCAACGCAGAATAGTTTCTTTGACATCACTTATCCGTCGGGTTTTTTTCACACCGGTTTAATATTTGCAGTTACATTTACACCATCAAATAGGAAATTTAATATTCTACATCTCTGCATAATTTTTATAGCCGGGGTAGATCCAGTGCCGCGTGAGCGCAATTCTCGCACAACTTTCACTTTACCGATCGTAGGAAAATGTGCGTCAGAAAAAACATATTTAAACCCGTGTCGGTGCCACAAACAGCAGTCCAAAAATTGGCGGGCGTTCATGGGTGCCTTTAGAATCACGTCTGCCTCTGGATAAAGGAATGAGCAATGCTTGAAAAGTTTTATAACCACATGTCCACCAGTTGCACAGCGTGTGGCAGATTGTGCCATACTGCAGTCAAACAAAACAGACGCCCTTGTACTTCCTCCACCATGTTCATCCGACGCGCCCCGTGAAGATCCGGGGTAGAATAGGTCTTCAGCAACCCATGCTTGTTATAAGAAGTCACTATGCTTGTCGTAAGATGCAACTAACGGGATCAGGTGGTCAGGCTCGCTGACTTTGTTGATGCATGTCATCATATCCCATAAACATGCATGTAGACACCTTTACAACCCCTCTCACAGTTTACAGGTTGGCCATATAAAGATAGGGGCACTATTAAAGTCTTTGTTTGAGTGAGGGAGTTGGGTTTAACGCCGCTTTTAACAGTATTCCAGTTATATCACGGCGTGTCAGCTTTATGTGGGAGGAAAGCCCGAAGTGATGCAGGTCTCAGACGTTTACCACTTCGGTGAAACCCACGAGCACGGGTATGGTGCTGACAAACCTTGAAACATAATCGGGGCGATCCGGGTTTCGAACTCACAACTCTGCACAGCAATTCACGGCGCCTTAGACGACTGTGCCACCCGTGCCCCCTCTGTTTGAAGGAGTGAGTGTTTGATTATATGTGTTCATAGAAACTATTCAAATCATAACGGTTACTATGGCAACATGTTCTTTTGACCTCATTTCCGAGAATCCGTGGTTCAAGTCATAAAAAAAAATATTTCACTTATTTGTTAAAAGTTATTAAGTGGCGCCTGGGAATATATTGCATGTGTTTACAGTGCTGATCATGAGTAATGGCGATGATTGTTTGCAAGTTATTGATTTCTTTGCAATCTTAAGTGTCATCGATACAAAAATATGCACGTATCTTACCTACAAACCGTACAAACATGGAATTTATAATCTGAATAAAAACCTTATCCGTGTGTGTTGGATACATCTGTCTTCAACACGGTAACAAGACCGTTGTCTCAAGTCTCCAAGGTTGAATATAAATGGATCCATACGTTATAAATTATTAGCGACATCATGAACTTTTGCAATTATTGCCTTCTGTTGTAGCACTCGTAGAACGGGTTAATGGTAGGGTCTACAATTTGCAAACTAAAGAATAAATGAAGTCTCTGCGAATTTTGCTTCCTCCTAAATGTTGCACGTTTAGAAGTGTTACTAATTATTTAAGATTTGTCATTAATGATGAATTCATGAGTATGAGAAAAGCTAGAAAAGATTAGTGTAACATTTCACAAGTGGTGAATACATTGTGTGGGTACATTATTGCAAATTCTTAGAGTATAATTGTATTGTAGTTCACCTGAGCGCATGGATGAGCCACTATGTTAACGCCGCTTTTGGCAGTATTCCTGGAATATCCTTGCAGGAATCCCAACGAACGTTTCTTTGTTTGTTGTTTAACGCCGCACCCAGCAATATTCCAGCTTTATGGAGGCAGTCTGTAAATGATCGAGTCTGGACCAGACGATGAGCATCGATCCACGCAATTGGGATACGATGACATGCATCAACCGAGTCAGCGAGCCTGACCACCCGATCCCGTTAGTCGCCTCTCACGGCAATCATCGGTTGTTGAAGGCCTATTCCATCCCAGATCTCACGGACCCCCAACGAATAGGTTCCATAGAGTATGCCTATGTCAGGGATCGAACCGAGGTCGTCAAGTGAAGGCTTTGTTCATTAGGCAACCCTACCGCCCCAAACACGTCTGAAATAGAACCAACTGTACGGCGAATCTATCTGTAGCATAGTGTTTTGTCGATAAACTATTGACATTGATTTGGCATCGATATCGATGTTTTTGTATTAGACCATAAACAATTAATGCATCGATAGTACGATCAATGGCTATACACGGATGTTACACACTTTCTAGCCATTGAATCTAGTGAGTGAGTTGGGTTTAGCGCGGTGTTTAACACTACAGTATTCCAGTTACATCACGGCGTGTCAGCTTAATGTGGGAGGAAAGCCCGAAGTGATACACGTCTCAGACGTTTACCACTTCGGTGAAACCCACGAGCACGAATATGGTGTTGACAAACCTAGAAATATAATCGGGGCGAACCGGGATTCGAACCCACAATCATAGATTTCTGGCGTGCCCAAGGGACGCAACTCTGCACAGCGAATCGCGGCGCCTTATACGACTGGGCCGCCCTTACAGAAAAACAAGCAAAAAGTATTATTATTAACCAAAACGTGACTTTCATACTTTTGGTTTGTGGCAATGTGACAACGGGACATTGAATGTCAAAATATGTCGCGTTTGTCTCCTATATACAATGTGTAAAAGCGGAGGTAAAATGTGCGATGTCGGGTTGTCGCCCCTTTTACATTAATGGTGGGCACGTGTAGTAAGTGAATTAATTCAGGCATGCGCAGAAATGGTTATACTCCTTTTTAACTCCAGTGGTCTACTTACTATGATCCTAAAACCAAGTGACCAATGGGAATAAATGGGTGCTTTTCTCAAAATGATTCAAACAAAGCTTTGATCGTTTCTTTTGGAATTAATTCATACATCGTTATTGTCGGTGACGTTTTCATCAATCAGTGTTATGACAACAAGAACAAATTTTCATTTCATTAATATGCAGTCCCCAAAACCTTTTCAAATCAATGAGGCGGCTAAAATTCGCTGTGCAAAGTTGCGTCCCCAAGGCCTGTCGGAAAACTGATCGTGGGTCCTGATTCCAGGACCATACACATGCATCACTTCAGGCTCTCCTGCATCTTGAAGCTGACGCTATCAAATGACTGAAACACTGTGAAACCAAACTCGCTAACATCGATGAACTTGCTGTGCAGAGTTGCGTCCTCTAGGCGTGCAAGAACCCTATGTCCGTGACTTCGAATCCCCAATGCGTTCTGAGTATTTTTCTAGTTTGTTAGCTCCTTAACCTTACTTGTGGGTTTCAACAATGCGGGTAAATCTGGGTCTCCGAAATCAAGCTGACACACCGTGACGTAACTGAAATACTGTTCAGAGCGGCGTTTAACAATATTCATTCCTCATGACAACCTTTTTGGCGAAACGATTCTTAGACAGCTTGGTAAATTAAAAGCATATTTCACAATGTTTTTTGCGACATCCACATAAACTTACTGCATCAAACTTCAGGCGACCGACGACCCTTTACCCCATAGACCCGTGAAGATTCCGGGGTAGAATAGGTCTTCAGCAACCCATGCTTGCCGTAAAAGGTGACTATGCTTGTCGTAAAAAGGCGACTAACGGGATCGGGTGGTCAGGCTCGCTGACTTGGTTGATGCATGTCATCGATCCCAATTGCGTGGATCGATGTTCATGATATCAATCACTGGATTGTCTGGTCCAGACTCGATTATTTACAGACCGCCGTCATATAGCTGGAATATAGCTGAGTGCGGCGTTAAACAACAAATCAACCAACCAACCAACCTTTACCCCACAGACTTGCCCCTTGAGGGACGTATTATGTGGGTTTGTAATTGATGTGACTGAGTTCGATCCCTTGTCGGATTCATTCATAATTACAGCTCATGCTTTGTTAGAATTTCGAAAACAAGCCTGACAATAATTAATATAAGCGTGACAATGCGACATTTTAATGCATTGCAACGCATATAAAGAACTTTTCTACACATTTAAATTTTCCGTTTTGGTAAAAACAACGGGACAATGCGATACTTAGCGTTGTTGCATTAATTGTAGACAGTTTAATTTTGCTTTTTTATTTTAGTGCGACAACGCGACAATGTCCCTTCGAAGGACAAATAAAGACAATGGAAACATACGATTCAAAACCTGACACAAAGGACCCTAAACGACCCTTATCAGATAAATACTTAGTAATGCCAACTCACCAATAGCAAATTCTGAGGAATGTTTATTTCCGGTCTGATGTAGGATATGCCGGATCTTGTAGGAGGCTGTACTTCCCTCACCTGCAGCGGATCCTGCTACTTGGACAGAAACCACCGACCGAGGTGCAACCGACCAGGTAGGCCACAAGGGTTCATTGCTGAGCATTCAATGCAGATACATATATGTCGATACATAGATGAGCGTGTACATTTAAGGGTATGATAAAGAGGTAGTCAGGGTCTGCTCGATGAAAACTGCCTGTGCAAAAGAGGGTGTACACTTGAAAATTGCATTTTACCAAAACATTACAAACGGTATCATTGGGTTACTAGACTGTCCTGTTAGGAAATACTCATTGTTATGATGCTTGTAATACCGCCTAGAGAGAGATAGAGGAGAGAGAGAGAGAGAGAGAGAGAGAGAGAGAGAGAGAGAGAGAGAGAGAGAGAGGGAGAGAGAGAGACGCCCTTGTCTCGGGAATATGTCTTAACTGCAGTGAAATATCAAGTATAATGTTCAGTGCAATGAAAATATCACTTTTCTCAACTACAGAAAAGGTCACATGTGCTGTGGGTAAGGACAATATCTTTCGTGATTCTTTTTTGGTTTCCAACACAAATATCAATATTGAAACAGTACACATTTTTTTATAACACAAGTCATAAGAAATGATGAAATCTGAAAAGGGAAATAATACCGAATTGATGGCCCTATCTTAGGTGTAAATTAGGACTTTTCTTCCCGCATTCACCTGACTGTGTAAGCCTAATTTAGTTAATGTTGCACCATTATTAATGGAGTACTGGTCTTATCATCATATGTAATGAACTACTAACATTTCGAAACCATTTTGTTTAATGTCATGGTTTCTTTTATGGCTTTGATGACGTCGGAGAAAGACGAAATTGGTGTATTGATCATTATTTTTCCCATCTAATTTTCGTACATTGAATGAAATGTCTTGATTTGAAATTGAAGCTTTATCGACGCAACATTAGATGACTGTTTTACCATGTAAATTTTCATGAATAAATGAATGAATTAGACTAGTTTTACCGTGTAACTTAATTGGACAAGACACGCACCTGTTTGGCTTCAATTTTACGTAAATCCAATACCCTACAGAATATTTCAAAACAAACAAAAATATTTTCAATATTGGACATGCATTTGATTTTAGTTTGTTATCATGTGGTTATTTCGTATCATCAGGTCAAAGGATTAGATAGACTAACATCTAGTCTCTAGTTATCTTAATAAAAATATAATAAAAGGGAGCCCAGTGACTCTCTTCACTTCAGATACTGCAGTAATCTAGACTTGCCAAACATTATAGACTTGCACGGGCTGTATTTGATATATATTTGTATCAGGGTCTGTAAGACAGACTAAGGATTAGACAATACACCGAAATACACTTTAAAGTTCACGAAACATTTAACCCGTCCTCTGTTTCATTATGTTCAATAACTTGGCTGCGGACTGTAAAATATTATTACCAGACGGCATCTTGTTTACGAGCAGACGAGTCAATATTCATCACGTGACAGGTCAATACTGATCACGTGACTAGTCCATTTTCGAAATCAGCGTCAGTCGCATGATTTGAGGGTCAACATTGAAATGTATTGTTTCGTGGTACGGACAGAGACCATATAATAGAGGGACGGCCCTCCCCAACTATTATATGGTCTCTGGGACGGATTAACCAATGGAATTGCAAGATTCTTAATAGAGGTGTAACAATAAGCTTCATAGATTGCATGTAAATAGACAAATGTGTTACTTCCTTTACAGCACAGGTGGAGGACTTGGACGTTTGAAGTTAGTCTTGAATTAGAGGTGATGCTCCTGTCGGCAAGTGGCGCCCTACGAAGGTCACTTGATATGTACGTCAGCTGGACCGGATTATCTGAATTTATCATTTAACTTAAGCATTTATCCATGACATAAGCTTATGACATAAAAACATGTATGTCATACCCCAATGACATAAGTATGCAAATTAGATATGCAAATTAGATAACCGGAAGAGCGAGCGGTTTGATTTGAAACTATATATTATAAGTGAAGTTACACCAGAGATATAATCAGATTACACAGAATCGTTGTTGTTACCGTTATTAAAGTTTCAATTATTCTGCAAAAGTCTGTTCAAGTATTTTGTTTAAAATAATCCGAGGAACTTTTTTTCTCAGCGAATTGTTTATTTTGGTTTACATGGCTATGGAAAACATGTATCACTACGCACGATCTATACGTAAGATTTCGACAAGTTGCTGATGTTAATGTTTAATGCAATTATTCCTTAATTTGGAAGCCAAAATGTGAAAATGATAAATAGAGTTCATCACTCGTGTTTTTTAATATGGGAAATATCAACCTCGTCCCGTTAATCGGTATTTGCCTCGCCAAAGGCTCGGTAAATACCGATTAACTAAGACTCGGTTGATATTTCCCATATTAAAAAACACTCGTGATGAATCCTCTATGTACAACACCGCCTGCCTCTCCATGGTCTTTTGGATATATGTCACATCCAAATGATGTTGCCATTGCTCATGTACAAACTGCACGTGTTTTGCGTTTGTTAGTTTTGAGAAATAATATTCAGTGTATAAATGGCATGAGCAGCGACACCTAGTGTTGGATGATGATAATGTTCCATCTCTATATTGGCGTCGTTCCACCTGCATGAATAGTTTTCTTAAATCCTATGGTATGTGCATGTATTACTTTGTCTCGCGTTCTGGCGGTTGGTCAGCACCGTGCTCGTTGAAATGAGTGAGTGAGTGAGTGAGTTGGGTTTAACGCCGCTTTTAACAGTATTCCAGTTATATCGCGGCGTGTCAGCTTAATGTGGGAGGAAAGCCCGAAGTGATGCAGGTCTCAGACGTTTACCACTTCGGTGAAACCCACGAGCACGGGTATGGTGCTGACAAAACTTGAAACATAACAGGGGTGAACCGGGATTCGAACCCACAATCATAGGTTTCTGGCGTGCCCAAGGGACGCAACTCTGCACAGCGAATCGCGGTGCCTTAGACGACTGGGCCACCCGTGCCCCCTCGTTGAAATGAATGAGTGTGGTGAATTATTGATAATTCTTTACAAACACTTACTTTTTAAAACAAATTGTGACTGACGGGTTGTACCGGTAGGGCAGGACATGTTTCACGGTGCTTAACTAGCGATTTCGGCCCAAACGCTAGAGTAACGCCTCACAGAAAAGCCGATTTATAATTGACAAAGGTGATTAAAAGCGGGCGTGAAAACACAAGCGTGAATACGAAAAATAAATAAATAAATAAATAGAACGATTGCGTTAAGGTGCATTGACAAAGATATACCAACTGTTTGTTTGTTTGTTGCCGCACTCAGCAATATTCCAGCTTTATGACGGCGGTCTGTATATAATCGTGTCTGGACCAGACAAACCAGTGATTGACATCTTTAGCATCGATCCACGCTGCATGCACCAACCAAATCAACGAGCCAGACCACCCGATCCCGTTAGTCGCCTCTTAACACGGGCATGGGTTTCTTAAGGCCAATTCTAACCCGGATTCTTCAAGGTTGTAGGGAATTTGGATGAGTGTAATGACATGTTAAAAAGTCTAGTTAGTGGTTTAAATATACTTTCAGGTGACTGTTTAATGATCGACTGAAAGTAATATGTCCAGTAGTCCTTTATGATTAAGGGTAATACTATCCATTATTATGACTCAAAATGAGATTGACCAATCAGAGAGCAGAACTATTAACCCCATATGACTCAGTATACCCATTCGTGACCAACTCGTGTTATTCCGGGACAAGCCGAGTTACGGAAAGGGGCGAGTGGGGACGAATGCCCGTATGCCGTCAGTAAAAATCCAAGATGGTTGTTACTGACCTAATATGAGACCGTATACCGTCAGTAACAGCCATTTTGGATTTTCCAAGACCCCTCTCACATATGTCGCATGGAAATTCTTGTACAGAAATTATTTATTCGACGCTGCTTTGTGTTTTAATATTCATTAATTGTGATGTACAAAGACATTATAGTTTAAAGAAACCACGTTGGTGACTTTATTAATAAAAAATATGGAGAAAAAAAACTCACAGCGGAGGTCACTGATTTACATAATATAGGATGACGTCACAAACAAGAAACATGACACCGATGACGTCACATAGCAATAGAATAAATAGCAGCCTGTCGTTAGGGAAAAGCGGACTGCTATCAAGTTACAGTGGCCCGCAGATTTCTGATAACATGCGGGCATTTTTATGCTAATTCTGTCCATTTCAGATATATTACGTGTTTAAACGTTCACATTTAGTGCATTATATATTCCACTGTTAACGTTTGTGTTTACATTAAAGCGTTGTATCGGAAACATATGTACTGGTCCTGTCATTTATACCAGTTGTGTAAGTGTCAAGTTTTCATTTTGACATGACATGTGCTATATAGATACCTAGCAGTGTAAACTTTTCGGCATAATAAATTCATTATGATGTTATTATGATTCATTTAGTTGCCGTATAAGGTGACATGTCAGTTTAGCAGAAAAAAATATTGGGCTCGGCTCACGTCTCGCCCAATATTTGTCTTCTAACCTAACACCGTAAATGACACCTGAATACACCCTAACTAATAATCAAGCTCCTTCCCAGCGCGTGACACCTTCGTTACACTCTCGGTAACGTCGCTGCCCTAGTGTGGGTGCGGCCCACACTCCGGCGCAGTGGTGACTCAGCATGGAACTCTGGGTAGGAGAGTGGGCGTGGTCATTACAAGAATCATTCGTCACCACTCGCCCCTTTCCGTAACCTGCAAGAAGTCCCGGAATAACACGAGTTGGTGACGAATGTACAAGAATCTTGAAATTTGCCCTCTAACCCCAAATGCAGTAACGTTTATACTTTTGTTTATGTCTTTGGGAATGCCATCATATTTCATTTTGAAAAGGTTTACGACTGACCATGTTTTCCAGATGAATTTACTTTGTTGTTTGTATAATCAGATTGGTTCGAGATTGCAGACTAACGGAAAATCAACCAACTTCTCCATTACATTCTTACAATATCAATTACATGATAGTTTTAATGAAATAGAAATTGAAACAAAGAAAAGTAATGTAGCATCTGTAAGTGTATAAGGCGTCACGACAGTCGTCACTTGTTTGGAAACATAACGGTCAATCGGTTGCGAGTTCAATTCCAAGCATGGTTGTGGTCATCTATCACAGTTTTGACTGGTGGCAGCGACAGTATAGAGAGCTCCGCGAACGGGCTATCGCTGTGAGGAGCTTGACTTATAATATGATGTTACTACTTGAAACTTGAATTTACGATTTCTTTATCGGGATCATTTACAATAGATCGCTGCGAGAAAAAAAAATCATTAAAAACGTTTACAATGCTTACATTATCATCGAATGTTTTACCTTGGTAGATGATTTTTAGGAAACGTTATATTTTGAGTGAGTGAGTGAGTTTAACGCCGCTTTTAACAATATTTAAGTTTTATTGCGGCGCGTCAGCTTAATGCGGGAGGAAAGCCCGAAGTGATGCAGGTCTCAGACGTTTACCACTTCGGTGAAACCCACGAGCACGGGTATGGTGCTGACAAACCTTGAAACATAATCGGGGCTTACCGGGATTCGAACCCACAATCATAGGTTTCTGGCGTGCCCAAGGGACGAAACTCTGCACAGCGAATCGCGGCGCCTTAGACGACTGGGCCACCCGTGCCTCTATATTTTTAAAACCAACTTGGGTTCCGCCCCTCAAAATGAAACCTTGTCCCACATGCCAACCCAACACCTGGTATCATCAGTCAATCATTCAAATTACTTTCACAACTATGTCGCATTTTACACCCAATGGGATCTTTTCCGAAAAATCGAGTCTGACTATTCTCTGGCGTTGACGTTCATAATGAATTTCCCACAGTATGACGATGGAGATTACACCGGGGACGTAACGCCACGTCGTAGTAGGTCATGTTTCGAGTTATCGCAGTGTTAACGTTATCACTGTATATGGGTTGAGTCATTTTGGGCAGCCATATTTGGGACAGCTGCTTATGAGCTGCCTAATATTTTACATTCATGCACTATAAGACACAACTTTGTTTGTCTTCGTCATTCTCTTTTTAAATTTCAAATGACAATGTAAACACTAGCTGTGATGAGCCAGCAAACTGCCGGGCAAAAGAGTGAGTGAGTGAGTATGGTTTTACTCCGCTTTTAGCAATATTCCAGCAATATCACGGCGGGGGACACCAGAAATGGGCTTCACACATTGTACCCATGTCGGGAATGGAACCCGGGTCTTCGGCGTGATGAGCGAACGCTTTAACCACTAGGCTACCCGACCGCCCCGCCGGGCAAAAGAAAGTATACACCCATGGTTGATGGTGGCTAAACATGAAACAAACAAGACACGGTTAGTCGATGGTGATATATTTCATACCGGTATCCTTGATGTGTTTTCGACCTATGGAAACTGTTTTTAGCCTATTAACGTTTTTCACAACGATTGTAATTGTTGGTCAAATCCAACCTTTCTGTCAGTTTTGAAAAACAACAACATAGCATCAATTTACAAATCGCAAGCTTACAACTTACTACTAACAAGCTTACAACTCTAAATCTTATAAATCACAACTCCGGAACATACAACATTTATTACAATATTCCAGCAATATCACGACGGGGGACACCAGAAATGGGCTTCACACATTGTACCCATGTCGGGAATCGAACCTGGGTCTTCGGCGTGACGAGCGAACGCTTTAACCACTAGGCTACCCGACCGTCCCCTTACAACGCTGTAAACAGCGACTTCAACACAGTGTACAGAGCTTGTCAAAGAGTGGGAGAGTTCACCACAGTGTATGGAATTTGTGGGAGAGTGCGAGAGTCCAACACAATGTACAGAGTTTGTGAGAAAGTGGGAGAGTCCAACACAGTGGTCAGAGTTTGTGAGAATGTGGGAGAGTCCAACACAATGTACAGTTT